TTCCTATTTTTTTTTGACGAGGAAGCTATGTCCGTATCTCTGCTTCGTTTTTTTTTTACCGGCGCTACGTATACAACAATCCAACTTCATTGTTGTATAAAGGAAGGCACATAACAGATCACGTTTCCAGGATAGAGGACCTTATCAAAACATGTCCAGGCTGCTTGATTGAGATGCAGGGCCTCATCTTCCCACCGGAACGAACCTAACAAAAAACAAAGAGTTTGATAAAAAACTTCCTTTGCTACTTACGGAGGATTTATTGCTCACCCTCGTCAGGACGAACCCTTCAAGAGGCGCAAGAAGTCACCATACAGTCCATGTGCACAGCACAAAATTCAACCAACCTTCTTTGTGTTTAAAAGCTTTTTAACCTTGTTACAACCTTTTGAAGAACTTGATTCGTTGCTAATTTCATATAAATTATTGCAAAAAAACAATGCAGTCAGAAATCTTCTAAAGAACAATACCCACAGGGAAAGAGTTTATAGTATTCCATCGAAACATCAGAAGTCAAATTTGCACATTTATATAATTTTTTTTTTTGATTCATCACCATGTGATGCATGTGTAACAGAGTCACACCATTGTTATGATAAATTTGGTTGACAAAAGAATCATTAAACTTAGCACGACGCTCTTTTCGATTACGGTTACAATATCATTTTTGGAAACTTCTAGATTCGTACTATTATCTTTTACGAGATAAAAGGCTGTTCTCTGCAGTGACGTCAAGATTGTCAAATATTTTTTTATATACTGTATAAGAGACTTTACTAATACGACTCAAGATACTTCACTACATTGTCACTTTTTCTTTTATTATAATTTATGTCGGTGCTGTTATCGTATAATTGTAAAGCACTTGACATTGTATGGAGAAATTTAATTTATTCGTTATTTGATAAATTTGATGGATCGAAGGTAGTGAGAGCCTAATAATCGACTCAAACGGGTTTGGAATATAGCAACGGGGGTAGCGGTAGTTTTTGAAATTTTGTTTCTTGAATGCTGTATCTTAATTGTGCGTGTTCTTTTTGTATTCAAATAACCTTATCGCAGTACTGCA